GGTGCTTTCTTTTGGCTTCTTCACTCCTCCTCCCTGGCCCAGAGGAAGAGAGTCCACTTGCCTATGTGGCCTTGGAGCTGAGCTGGGCTGCAGGAGGTGGGTGTCACAGGTCTCCTCAGGTTGCCAGGAAACTGCTGCCTTCTGCCCAAGTGCCAAGGGCTGGGCAGGCTGGGCTCCCCTGTGCCTGACACCCAGCCCTCCTCTTCCAGAGCATCATCTACTATGTAAGCTGCTCCCCCAAGCTGGAGGCCTGGCTGAGCCACGAAGGCATCGCAGCCGCCCTACGCCCCGTACGGGCCCCTGGCTACGCTGACTCAGACCCTACCTTCTCACTGAGTGTGGATGAGGACTATGACCTTCGCCTCTCTGGCCTCTCATTGCCTTCCTTCTGCGCTGTGCACCTTGAGTGGATCCAGTACTGTGCCTCCCGGCGCAGCCAGGTTGGGCCACCACTACCCTGGGGCTGCCCTACCAGGGTTCTAGGGATCTGGGCTTATTTTCTTCTCCCTTTCCCCTTATCCTGAGACTTTCATGGCTTGGCCCTTGGCTCTACCCCAGGTTCCCAGTCCCAGGTCTGAACTGGGCTCTGGGGATGGGGGTCCTTGTGCCACAGCCCGTGGACCAGGATTGGAACTCGCCTCTGGTGACGCTATGTTTTGGCCTGTGTGTGCTGGGCCGCCGAGCCCTGGGGACAGCCTCACACAGCATGTCTGCGAGGTGAGTGCCCAAGTCTGGCTGAAGGTACTGCTCTCCACTCCTCAGCCCTCTGCCCTCTCATGAAGACCTCTGTGTATTTGGAAATCCACTTGGTACTTCCTGGCGGTGTGGCTCATCCACAGGGACAAGGCCTTTTCCAGTCCTGACTCTGCCTGTTTCTCACTGCTCTGTGAGGGACATGGGCTCCTTGGCATGATGAGGAGACTGAAGCCCAGCGTGAGGAAGGGTCTCGGCTCTTTAGAAACCTGAGACCCCTGGCTCTTTGTCCTTGCTCACCACCTTCTTCCTTCTCCTGCCCAGCCTGGAGCCCTTCCTCTACGGCCTGCATGCCCTGTTCAAGGGGGACTTTCGCATTACATCCCCTCGTGATGAGTGGGTCTTTGCTGACATGGACCTGCTGCACCGTGTAGTGGCACCTGGGGTTCGCATGGCCCTCAAGCTTCACCAGGTGGGGAGTTGTATGTCCGGCATTGTGCACAGGTGGGCATAAAGCCTTTCCTTGGGGCAGGAGTCCCTGACCCCTGTCCTCTTCCATCCTTCCCGCCCAGGACCACTTCACATCCCCAGATGAATACGAGGAACCAGCAGCCCTGTATGATGCCATTGCAGCCAACGAGGAGCGGCTTGTCATCTCGCATGAAGGCGACCCAGCCTGGCGGAGTGCCATCCTCAGCAACACGCCCTCACTGCTGGCACTACGGCATGTCTTGGATGATGCCTCCGACGAGTACAAGATCATCATGCTCCATCGGCGCCACCTCAGTTTCCGAGTCATCAAGGTGGTGAAGGCCCGTCCCCACCCTCCAGCTCACCCCCTCCCTCTGGTGCTGGCCCTTGACCCTGAGTGTGGCCCCCTGCAGGTAAACCGTGAGTGTGTGCGTGGCTTGTGGGCTGGGCAGCAGCAGGAGCTGGTGTTCCTTCGAAACCGCAACCCCGAGCGTGGCAGCATCCAGAATGCCAAGCAAGCGCTCCGCAACATGATCAATTCCTCCTGCGACCAGCCACTGGGCTACCCCATCTATGTGTCACCCCTTACCACCTCACTGGCCGGCAGCCACCCCCAGCTGCGGGCATTGTGGGGTGGCCCTGTCAGCCTGGGCGCCATCGCCCACTGGCTCCTGCGAAGCTGGGAGAGGTGAGCCCTGACTGCAGCTCCTAGCCATGTGGGCCCATCAAGGTGTCCTGGGCTTCCAGTGGAGGTTACAGGGGTGCAGAGAGAGGAAGCAGTGCCCTGTTAAGCCCTCAGAGTGGAGAAGTGCTGGAGCCAGGCTTCGAACCCCAAGAGATGAGCCCCTCCCAGAACTTACTGCCCCCAGAAGTGTTACCTTTTCCCTGGAGCTGACAGTGGCCTTTAATCTGTAAGCACAGTTGACATTGCCTCCCTCAGAAGGCCCAGCAGATGGCAAAATCTCTTAGAGATGTGGACCCTGGGGCTTGGAGATGTTGGATGACTTGACCTGGGGACTTGTGTTCATTAGGCCCACGTCCTCAGTCTCGTCTCCCCACCTCACCCTTTCTCCACCTCTTCACCCAGGCTTCATAAGGGCTGTGGTGCTGGCTGCAATAGCGGTGGGAATGTGGATGACTCAGACTGTGGTGGGGGTGGCGGCCTGACCTCCCTCAGCAATAACCCCCCCTTGGCACACCCCATGCCTGAGAACACAGCAGGTGAGTGGGCGATGCAAAGCTGACTTAGTGGGGACAACCACAGCCCATCTGAGGTCTCTGCTCTCTTATCTGTCTCCACCAGGCAGCAGCGACCAGCCTCTCCCACCAGGCCCTGGCTGGGCCCCACGACCATCTCTGAGCAGCTCTGGTGATGGACGGCCCCCTCCACTTCTGCAGTGGCCTCCCCCTCGGCTCCCAGGACCACCCCCTGCCTCACCTGCTCCCACCGAGGGTCCTTGGCCCTCCTGGACCCCTGGCCCTGGCCTCCTCAGTTCTGAGGGGCCCAGTGGGAAGTGGAGTCTAGGGGGTCGAAAAGGGCTGGGAGGATCTGATGGAGAGCCAGCCTCAGGGAGCCCCAAGGGAGGGACCCCTAAATCTCAGGTAAGGCGCCTGTGGGAAGTTTTGGGTCATAGGAGGCTCAGAGCTGCTTGCCTGCCAACCTGTCTCTCCTTCTCAGGCGCCTCTGGACCTCAGCCTCAGCCCTGATGTCAGCTCCGAGGCCTCACCCCTCAGAGTAGCTCAAGACATTCCTTGCTTGGACAGTAGTGCTGCTGAGAGTGGCACCCCCACTGGGGCTCCTGGTGACTGGCCTGTCCCTGTGGAAGAACGGGAGAGCCCAGCTGCCCAGCCCTTGTTGGAGCACCAATACTGAGCACCCCGGTGCCCACTGGATTCCATCCTAGGATCAGTAACTCGGATTCCCTCGGTTGCTTCTAGCCCTCTCTGTTGGACCATGGACCTGAGTGGCTTTGGCTTCCTTGCCTGCACCCTGACCTCTGGCTGTCTCAGCCAGAGAACCAGAACTGAATGACCCAGACCTCTGATCTTGACCCCTGATCTCACCCCTAATACTTGGCCTGGGTCCCCCAAAATGAGGCAGGTAGCCTCCCAGCCAGGCCCTAAGAGCCAAACCCATGGGCTGGTCCCGCTTTGAGCCTGTGGCCAGGACTGACTCAGCCCCTGGGTCTGCACTGCCTGCAGAGCTGGTCCCCCAGGCCTGGACCTGGGGCTTGAAATGTGGCGAGGGTTGTTTCTTGTCTTTCTTCTTTTTCTTTTTTTTTCTTTTTCTTTCTTTTCTTTTCTTTCTTTCTTTTTTTTTCTTCTTTTTTTTGTGTGTGTGCTTCAGAGACACCAGAATTAATAACACTATTTTTGATTTTGGTTGGCAGTTTCTTCTTCTCTCTGGGAGTGATTCACAGGGTAGTGGAGGTGGCCAAGTCACCCCTGGGTGAGCTCGGGGTTGTGGTAGAGTTGAAGGATATAGAGCTGAGGAATGATCCAGATAAGAGGACAAACCACGGGAGGGATCAATCAGGTGGGATGGTCCCCTTCTCCACAAGCCTGTTCCCTTGTCAAGACTTGATGTGAAGGTCATAGTGTTGTTTTCTACTCCTGTGTGTATAGTTCAGAACAGTGATGCGAAACGTTAGAATTTTCAATGATACAGCCTGCTTCAGCCCACAGGTCCTAGGTTGGCCACCACTGGTTCAGAAATTCCAGCCCTGGGAATTCTGAGATTCCTGCGTTTATCAGCTTTGGTCTTAGCCAAAGCCTTCTTCTGAACCTCAGTTGCTCTAAGCCTTAAAGAGGCAGTGACTCCTGTGTAGGATGTTTTAGGAATAAATTGAGGTTTGTGCCCCATGTTAGGTCTCCTGTTGCTGGTTTCAGTGGCACACGCCTGTAATCCCAGCAGTCTTGGAGATTGAGGCAGGAGGATTTTAAGTTGGAGCCCTGTCTAGGCAACTTAGTGACCTAGCAAGACCTTGTCTCAATAAGTAAATAAGGGATAGAGATGCAGCTTATTGTGTGGGCCCTGGGTTTAAATCCCAGTTTAAAAAAAAAAAAAAGTGTGAGGGCCCAGGGTTTAGCTCAGTGGTTTCGCTGCCTGGTGCGCAAGCGCAAGGACCCGAGTTCGATCTCCGGTACCAAAAAAAAAAAAGTGTGAAAAGTGTGTAGAGCTGTTGCCCAGGGAGCTTGGGTCCTGAGCACCTGATATGTGTCAGGCAGGAGCCAGACACTAGGTGGCCTCTAACCCTCCGGGTTTGTCTGGAAGGCAGGTACGCTTGTTCCCATTACTCAGCGTGGACGTGAGCTGAGTCAGAAGAGCAGTCGAAGGCTGGACAGCTAATCGGGGTTGGGCCTGTGTTCCAGCTGCGTGCAGGGCTGACCACTGCCAGACCCGGAGTCCCCGCCTGCTCGCTTCCCGCCGCGGCAGGCTCCTGGCCGGCCCCGCCCCCTGTGTGGCCCCGCCCCCGCCTGGCCCCACCCCAGGCGGAGCCGGCGCCCGGAGTGGTAGCTGGAGAGCAGGCAGCGGGACCGGCGCGGGAGGCAGTTGCGGCCAGGCAGGAGCCCCGGAGGTATTGGTGGGAGCTGGGAACGGGAGGCACCGGGGTCGGTCAGACAAGGTACCAGGTGGCCTGGCTGTGGGCTGTGGGTGGGGGCACGGACTTCTTGGCGCCTTTGCCTGCACACTTCAGTCTCCCTCTGGCTCCAGCTCAACTCGGAGTCAGCGTGTCCAGTCCCCTGCCTCAGGCCAACGGCTACCGCTCCCTCTGCGTGAGGGCCTTGCCCGGCCCTTGAGCCGGTGAGTGGACTCAGTGACTCCCAGTTGCTCTCTTGAGCTCGGGCTATTGCCCCTGCAGCCCAGTGCATGGGCTCCCTCTATTCTGGGGTTCCTCTTCCCTGGCGGCCTCCTCCCCAGCCTTTGCACACTGTCTCCCAGTCTCAGGCCTGGACAGGGAGGAAACATCTGTCGCGCCCCCTGGCAGCAGGAATGGGGTCATGACCTCCAGATGTGCTGGGAAGAGTCCAGGGCCTCCTCTTGGGGCAGCCAGGCCTTCCGGATCTGTGGGGGCGGGGCTGCCCCTTCCCCCTCAGTGACATAGGCTGCAAAGAATGTCCCGGCCTCAATGGACCCTGTGTGAAGTTGTGGAATGGGGGGCAGAGCCTAGGAACACCCCCTTAAGGCAGGGCCAGGGCCCAAAGCAGCCCAAGGTCTGGGCAGCACACATTCGAAGGGCTCACTCACGCATATACAGAGTTTAGCCCATGTGGATTGGGATCCCATACAGACTCCCTCTTGCCCTCTCTCACCACACCCCACCTGGGACCCAAGTCTGCATGAGCATGCCTAGAACATGGAACAGGGAGCCTGTGTCTGCCGTGCACATAGATGGCTAGCTTCAGTCTCCCAGTAGCCCTGGGAGGGGACTGGAATAATTAGCCCCTTTTTAGAGATAAGAAAACAGAGGCTCAAGGTCAACATCTGAGCTTGTCCAAGGAGAAACCAACATAGGAGGCCTGTGAGCTTTGGAGACATGTCCTTGTTTGGCTCCAGAGGCGCAGCGGAGGTCTGTGTAGAGCCCCTCCTCCTACACTATGTGCCAAGACCCACCAGTAGCTGCCTGCACCCCCGGTAAGGGTTCCCAGGCCCCTGCCCTAGCTGCCACCTCTGTTGAGGGTCACCTGGGGGTGATTCTTCCTCATGTTCTCACACCACCTTTTACACCTAGCCCTGGTCTTACCACATTTCCATGCTCAGCAGGTCCCTGGGGCCTTGAGTGTCTGAGTCTTACATCCTGTGAGATCGTGAACCTCAGCCCATCCTCCACCACCCCCACACCTCTGCACACAGGGTAGCTAGGGACAGGAGTGAGCAGGTGCAGTTCTGTTAGGCCCTGGAGATTGTTGGACCTAGGTTCAAATCCTACCTCTAACATGGAATTGCTTCAGTGAAAAGCATCACCTTTTAAGACCTCGGTTTGATCTTCTGTCACAAGGAGTTCAGATGTCCTTGTCCACGTCAGTGAGACTAAGTAGATAGAGGTTCCCATGGGTCCCTGTTCCAGCAAAGGGACCCAGTCAGCATAACTCCCTGTCTTCTCCAGGCCTGGGCACAGCAACCTGCAAGTGGGTGGGCCCAGGTCTGTCCTTCAGGCCAGTGTGACTTGGGTCCCATTACTGAATTGGTATGACCCCAGCATCTTCCTCAGGATGTGGGGGATAGGCAGGGGGGTGGGCCAAGTTGGGGCCATTTCCTGTGTTGAAGGATGTCTTCTTGTCATTCCTACTACTCTGCAGCCACTCCTGGGAGCCCCTGTGTCCTCGGAGTATTGGGGCTGTAGGAGCCAGGGCGTTGGAAGCAGGTCTCTGGGTGCTCAGCTCCTCTGGGACCCAGGAGGAAGTGGGAGGTACAGGGAGGAAGGTCTCTGGGGACAGGACATCCTCCCTTTGTCAATTGAGCAGGACCCAGACAACACTGGCCCCAGAGGTTTCCCATCCCAATTGAAAAGAATTGTCTCCCTGATTGGGCCAGGCCTTGGTGGGGACCCTCACTCTGGGCCCAAGACCACAGCCAAGGTCTCTGGATGGGAACTGGGAGACTAGCAGCCCCAGGGGTCCCCAGGCTCTAGGACCCTCAGGGCCAGAGTCCCACATCCAGGCCCTGACCCTGTTGAAACCGAGCCGGGGAGGGTGCTGGAAACCTCAGCCCTAGGCAGACAAGGAAGTGGCCAGGAAAGCGGAAGCAGCTTTGATGGTCTCAGAGGGGGCCGGAAGCCAACCGGGGTGGTGGAGGGCCAGGCTGGGGGCCTGGGTTCCTGTTTTCTCCTCAGGCCCCTCTGAGCAGCCCCCTTCTCCTTCAGGGCAGGAACCACTGCCACAACCTCAGCCTGCCGGCTGGTCACCAAACACCCATATCTGCTAATGCGGCCCAGCCCCCAGAGAGCCAGCCCCACAGAGCATGCCCATGTGGACTGGTGGTGTGGGGAGCCCACGGCAGGGCACGGCCCCTGCACCCACTGATGACCTCTTTGCCCGAAAGCTGCGCCAGCCAGCCCGGCCCCCACTGACACCACACACCTTTGAGCCAAGGCCAGCCTGGAGCCCACTCCTACGCAGTGGCAGCGATGCAGGCGAGGCCCGGCCACCCACCCCAGCCAGTCCCCGAGCCCGGGCACACAGCCATGAGGATGCCAGCCGTCCTGCTGCAGTCCCCACCCGGCTTTTCACTGACCCACTGGCTTTGCTGGGGCTACCTGCAGAGGAGCCAGAGCCTACCTACCCACCAGTGCTGGAGCCTCGGTGGTTTGCTCACTATGACGTGCAGAGCCTGCTCTTTGATTGGGCTCCACAACCACAGGGGACCCGGGGCCACATGGAGGCCAGCTCTGCAACTCCAGCCTCAGCTGAGGACCAGTCTGCCATCTCAGATCTGCTGCTTGGGGCACCTGGCTTTGTGAGTGAGCTTGGGGGTGAGGGTGAACTAGGTCTGGGTGGACCAATGTCCCCACCTGTGCCCCCTGCACTTCCCAACGCGGCTGTGTCCATCCTGGAAGAGCCACAGAACCGGACCACAGCCTACAGCCTGGAGCATGCAGACCTGGGTGCTGGCTACTACCGCAAGTACTTCTATGGCAAAGGTGAGGGGCAGGCAGGTCCAAGGATAGACAGGAAGAGGTCTTGGGCAGAGTTCTCTGTCACCTGTGGGGCACACAGCAGAATACATGAGCTGTTCTTTTCCTGTAAGGTCCCTTGGCTATAGGAAGGAGCTGAACCAGAGTTCTGCTGGTTCTAACACTCACTGCCCCTGGCCATTCCCCCAGGCCAGGGCTGGGCATCCTGCCTCCTGGCTTATCCTCCTAGACAGAAGATTTCCTGTCTAGAGGTGAAAACTCAAGCCTGAAAGCCCTGTACTCAGAAATCTTGTTCTTACCATCCCAGTGAAAAGAGGGCCTGGGGCCTTGGAATGGAAACTATGAGTGTCCCAGGCAGGGTTGGGCAGCATCAAACTTGACAGCAACCACACATTGGCTGCCTGGGCCCTGGGCAAGGTGCAATGTGGGTGGGGCTGCAGAGGGGCAGGACTTATCCAATGTCTACACTTGGTGAGCTGGGGCTGAGGGAGGGACTTAGTGGCGGGTTCCTGTGAGTGAGATCCACCTCCCGCCCCACAGAACATCAGAACTTCTTTGGGGTAGATGAGGAGCTGGGCCCAGTGGCAGTGAGCCTGCGCCGGGAGGAGAAGGAGGGCAGCGGAGGGAGCACCTTGCACAGCTATCGTGTCATTGTGCGGACCACACAGGTGGGCCCGGGTCACGGGGTAAGGGCATGGGTTCCCTCCTCAGAAAGCTATGGATCCTAAGTGCCACTCCACCTCTTCCTCAGCTCCGGACCCTCCGAGGCACCATCTCAGAGGATGCGCTGCCACCAGGGCCCCCACGTGGCCTGTCTCCAAGGAAGCTTCTGGAACACGTGGCGCCAAGGCTGAGCCCATCATGCCTGCGTCTGGGCTCAGCGTCCCCCAAGGTGCCACGCACACTGCTTACGCTGGATGAACAAGTGGTGAGTGGCCAGGAGGGAAGGGAGGTGTGAACTCAGCCTGGCAGCATCTGGGCCCCCAGCTCTGACCTGACATTGGCTTGGGCAGTGGTCCCAGAAAGCAGGTTACCTCAGCATTTCAGGCCAGGCACCAGAAGCAAGGTCTGGATACTGCAACGTCTGAGGGCTTGCTAGAAATGCATGTTTTGAGGCTCTAGCCTGCTGACCGAATCAGAGCTGCATCTTAAAGACTCCAAGGTGGTGGGCCGGGGATTTAGCTCAGTGGTTCTGGCACCTGCTGCGCAAGTGCAAGGTCCAGAGTTCAATCTCTGGTACCAAAAAAAAACAACAAAAAAACTCCAAGGTGGTGTGATATAGCTCACAACCTTGAAGCCCTGGTCCTGACCCCATCTCTCCTGCAGTTCCCTTGTTCCTGGCCAGTTTGTTTCACAGGCCCAACTTGGTCTCCCTTCAATGTGGGGTGCTCACTCCTTCCCAAAGTTGCCTACCACCCCGGCTCTTTTCTGTAGCATTTGATCCATCAGTCACTCAACAAACATGTCTCATGTCCTCTTGGTGTTGGGCCCCAGACTGGATTCTGGGGACAAGTCCAGACCAAATGCTTTCCTGGAGTGCCTCACAGCTGGATGCGGGTCAGGAACCCATAGAGAAATGCAGAAATAGGAGCAGGATATCAGAGAAAGGGGATGTGGAGGGCTCTGTGGGGCCCAGAGGTGGTGCTGACAGCCCTTCCTGGGGGAAGGTTTCACCCCACAGAGGAAATGCAAGAGCATAAGCCAGGGCGAAAGCATGTTTTCTGGGCAGACAGGGTTGAGCAAGGCTTTCTGGCTGAAGAAGCAGCTGGTGTGATGGTCTAGAGACTGGATGCATGTCACATGTGCTTCAGTGTGGGTGGAGGGGGACAGGGAGAGGCCTGCTTTGGTCCCATGGGCACTGGGGAGCCAAAGAAAGATTCCAAGCACATCTGACTCCAGGATGAGGACAAGTCTGGAGGGGCAGCAACTGGACGGAAGGCTGTTGCTGTTGACCTAGCTAGACATGGTGGTGACAAACAGGTGACAGTCCAGGGGTAGAGTGAGTATCCCCTGTGAATGACTGAAACATGGGGAGGGCTGAGATTCCCTAGCTTCTTGGCCCAGGGAAATGGTGTTTTTACGGAGCCAGGGACTTTGGAGGAGGGATAGGGACAGGGAAAGCCCAGCAAGGAGGCGAGGTGCCCCCGTGCCAGAAGGGCCTCTGGGCAGCTGGGGAAATGGGCCCGGAGTTTGGGAGAAGGCTCTGGCCACAGGCAGAGATGGAGTGTTGTACTCTAGAAGTGGCTGCTGCAGTCACCGAGGGGACAAGCTTAGGTGGAGAAGAGGTCCCCAGGGCCAACTATGGCCAAGAGGCTACCAAGATGAGGAGCATCCATGGGCTGTAGTGTGTGGGAGGTTTATTTGTTATTATCTTTTGCAGTACAGAGAATTGAACCCTGGGCCTTTGTACCGAGTTATATCCCTGGTTGGTTTTTTTGGTACCGGTCATTGAACTAGGGTCCTTGTGCTTGGGTGGCAGGTGGCAGCACCACTGAGCTAAATCCCCAGCCCCTTGGTTTTTTTTTTTTTTAAGACAGTCTTGCTACGTTACCAGGCAGGACTCCAACTTTTGATCTTCTTGCCTCAGTTTACCAGACTGCTGGAATTGCAAGCATGCACCACCACCCAGCATAAGTTATTTTGTGGGGCAGGGAATGGAACCCAGGGTCTCATGCTTGCTAGGCAAGCACTCTACCACTGAGCTTATGAACATGGCGGGTGAGAGGTGACGGAGAATTGCTTTAATGGGATCAGAGCGCCTTGAACCATGCAGGGTCATGTGCATATAGAAAGGAGCTAGGAGCAGAGTGTGCAGAAATGGGCGCAGGGGGAGGGGCAGAAATGGGGTGGGAGGAGACACCTTGGATTCGAATGGGGGTCAACAGTGTGCCTTGAGTTGAGGAGGATGCCGATATGGACATGTATTGAGACCAAGTGCAGCATGTGTAGGGTCCTTTCTATGACTCACCTCATCTGTTGTCACTGAAGAACCAACCTCCTCTCGTCCCGCCCCACTTCTGACCTCCCCTGCACTTCTGAGCACTAGGAGCAGGGCAGCCTGTACCCATGTGATTGTCGAGGATGCTGAAGTGGCTCAGAGAGGGCCAGGGCTCAGGGCAACACACTGAGGCAGCTACCTGCAGGCCAGTGTTCTGACCATTTATTTCCCCATGACGCAGTGGAAGCAGTGCTGGGAGAGACTGAGGCCTAAGATTTCTGCCGATCTTTCTCCAGCTGAGCTTCCAGCGCAAAGTGGGCATCCTGTACTGTCGCACCGGCCAGGGCTCGGAGGAGGAGATGTACAACAACCAGGAGGCAGGAATGGCCTTCACACAGTTCCTCACCTTGCTGGGTGACGTGGTTCGGCTCAAAGGCTTTGACAGCTACCGGGCCCAGCTGGACACCAAAAGTGAGGCACAAGGCTCTGGAGGGGCAGGGACAGTTCCACACGAGGGGCAAACTAACCACCTTTTCACTCTTTTGTCCATATTGGCCAAAGGTTGGGGCTGCGGGCTGGAGAGTTTTTTGGGTAGGTTGAGGATGAATCTGGCTACAAAGCCAGGTGATGGGCTGGGAGGAGGCTGGGACTGTTGCCCAAGAACCTGATGTCCTACTACCTGATCTGCGACCAAGTAGTTGAGGGACACAACCCCCTCCATCTGACACATTCCAGAAGCCTGGCCTCTGCGGGGAGCAACCCTGGCTCCCTGGGTGTTAGGCCCCAGAGTACCTGCATGCCTTCCACTCTGCCAATATGCCCCATGTACTCATGCTAACATCCGTCCTCTCTTAGGACATCCACCTCCTGCCTCCTTCTGAGACTGTTTTTCACTGTGTCTTCACTCTGTGTCCCTTCACCCTGGTGTAAGGCTACAGCTTATGGGGAACAGGGAACCAGCCAAGGCTGAGGCCCTTGGACTTGGTGGCCTGGGCATTGGGGTTGTCCACCTACTGGCTGGGCATGGAGTCTCCTAAGTGTGAACAGGGACACCAGGTTCAAGTCATTCAGATTCTCTTAGCTGTCTCTCTGTGTCCCCAACTCCCTGGCCACAGCGGATTCCACAGGCACACACTCCCTCTACACCATGTACCAGGACCACGAGATCATGTTCCACGTCTCCACGATGCTGCCTTACACCCCTAATAACCAGCAGCAGGTGTGAGGGGTCTAGGATGGGTCTGGGAAATGGCCAGGGGTTCCTGGGGAACCATCGAGGGAGCTTCGAGGGTGGCAATCTTTGAACCTTGGCCTGAGGTCTGCTGGCCCCAACAACCTGGTGGCAGCTTCCCAAAGACAAACATCTCAGGCCTTTTCCAGGGGCAGGTGGGGAAGCCACTGGTGTCAAGGTTTTTCCTTGCCCAAATGAGGAGGGTTTCAGGGGGTCATGCAACCCCTGTAACACCCCTCATCATCTAATCCCCAGCTCCTGAGGAAGCGCCACATCGGCAATGACATTGTGACCATCGTGTTCCAGGAGCCTGGCAGCAAGCCCTTCTGCCCCACCACCATCCGCTCGCACTTCCAGCATGTATTCATAGTGGTGCGGGCGCATGCGCCCTGCACCCCACACGCCTCATACAGGTGGGAGCCAGGGTAGCCCTAGGTCTCCCATGGGCACTGAGTCCTGGACCTGCCCTGCCCTCCTTCATGGAGCCTTCCTCCATGCAGGGTGGCTGTGAGCCGCACCCAGGACACTCCGGCTTTCGGGCCAGCTCTGCCCCCTGGCGGAGGCCCCTTCTCAGCCAATGCCGACTTTCGGGCTTTCCTGCTGGCCAAGGCGCTCAATGGTGAGCAGGCAGCGGGGCACGCGCGCCAGTTCCACGCCATGGCCACGCGCACGCGCCAGCAGTACCTACAGGACCTGGCCACCAACGAGGTGACCACCACGTCGCTGGACTCGGCCTCACGCTTTGGGCTGCCTTCCCTGGGGGGCAGGCGCCGGGCGACCCCTCGGAGCCCGGGCTGTGAGCTGCAGGCGGCGGGTGCGCTAACCTGGGGTGTGCGCGCGGCGCCAGGGGCGCGGGTCGCAGTGGGAGCCGAAGTGGGAAGCCCGGATAGTGCCGAGCTGCCCTGTCTGCTGGGCATCTCCGCGGAGGCGCTGGTGCTGGTGGCGCCGCGCGATGGCCGCGTCGTCTTCAACTGCGCCTGTCGCGACGTGCTGGCTTGGACCTTCTCGGAGCATCAGCTCGACCTGTACCACAGTCGCGGGGAGGCGATCACACTGCGGTTCGATGGGGCCCCTGGCCAAGCGGTGGGCGAGGTGGTCACACGCCTGCAGGTGAGCCCGGGAGGAGTTAGGAGTCCGCGGTCCCTTCCCACACCAGGGGCGGAACCCGCGCTGGAGCTGCCACCTCTGCAAAAGCAAGCTGAGTGGGAGGGCGCCGAGCCAGCCTTGGGGGCCTGACAAAGCTGGTGTAGGGCCTCTGGCAGGCGACCGCTGGTCCTGAATGGGTGGGTCGGTAGTAGTCTCCTCGCAGGGTGTAGAAAATACTGTGTGGGCCGGAGAGGGGCCCCAAAGGTGGCACGGGGTGGTCCTACCCAGAGAAGCCCCACCCATGTCCCGCCCTTGCCTCGCCCTTAGTTGGTGAGCCGGGGCTGCGAGACCCGCGAGCTGGCGCCACCCCGCGATGGCCAGGGCCGCCTGGGCTTCGAGGTGGACACCGAGGGTTTCATCACGCACGTGGAGCGCTTCACTTTCGCTGAGAAGGCCGGGCTGCGGCCCGGGGCACGCCTGCTGCGCGTGTGCGGCCGGACACTGCCCAGCCTCGGCCCCGAGGCCACTGCCCAGCTGCTGCGCTCGGCACCCAAGGTCTGCGTCACCGTCCTGCCCCCTGAAGAGAGCGGCCGGCCCCGCAGGTCAGGGCGCCCGGACACGGGGAAATGGGAGGGCCCAGCGGCTGATCTGTGACTCCCAGGTTTCCTTCAGTATGCTCCCAAGATTCGTGTGTAGTTGCCTTTTTCTCTTTTCAGAATTCCATGTCTTGACCTCTCTGAACTGCACGTTACCCATAGAGTGGAACCAGTTAAGAAACTAACACCCCCCCCCCTTTTTTGAGACAGGGTCTCACTATATAGTTCAGGCTGACTTTGAACTTTCTCTGGAGCCCAGGCTGGCCTCGAACTCACAGAGATCCTCCTGCCTCAGACTCAGGAGTACTGAGTGCTGGGATTACAGGCGTGTGCCACCATTCCCAGCTAACCCTCACTCTTAAAAAGTATTAACACACATCCCACTATTGATTACTTACTGTACTAAGCCAGATACAGGCAAACTTTGTAAAGGGCCAGACAGTGGATATTTTAGGCTATCTCAACTCTGCTGCAGCTACTCAATTCTTGCTGTAAGTGAACTGAGCGTGGTTGAATTCTATTAAAACTTTATGGCCAGTGGAATGTTTGGATTTAATACAGATGTTCCTCAGCTAGGTGTGGTAGTGCAGACCTGTAATCCTAGTATTCTGGGAGGCTGAGCCAAGAGAACCACAAGTTGGAACCCATCCTGGGTAATAATTTATTGACTTAGTGAGACCATGTCCCAAAATAAAATTTAGAGGGACTGGAGATGTAGCTCAGTATGAAGTTCCTAGGTTCAACATATGTATATATAGGGCCAGGGATTTAGCTCAGTGGTTCCGGCACCTGCCTTGCAAGTGCAAGGTCCCGAGTTCGATCCCTGGTACAAAAAAAAAAAACAACCCACACATACACAAACATATGTGTGTGTGTGTGTGTGTGTGTGTGTGTGTGTGTGTATGTTACTAATGATAAGTCCATGCTAAGGTCGAAAAATTTCAAGTCAATTCATGCTGTCTGGATGGACTTTAATTTTCTCTTGTCATCCAATATTCTGTTGAATATTTCTTTTAACTATTTAAACATCTAAAAACCATTATTGGCTCACAAGAGTTACAAAAACAGGCACACATGCTTAAAACAAAGAAAGAAAAGACACAGGCTGGATTTTGTTGCAGGGAGGAGATTCTGGATGCCATATGATTTATTTCCATGTGTTGTTCAAGCTGTCCCAGCCTGGGATCAGGCCACTTTTCGAGTCATTTGTCCAGAATAGACAGGACTGGGACTTGAACCCAGGTCTGAAAAAAATGTCCACTAGCCAGGCCCACATTTTTCACTGTGTCAGGGAGTCTGGGGAGCTTGCATCCTGGCAGTGCTCCTCTGGCAGCAGCTGGGGGTGGGACTGGTGATGCAGGACACTGGGGCTTTGGGGAGCCCAGTCTGACACTGCCCCTCCCTTCCACCCAGGAGCTTTTCGGAGCTCTACACGCTGTCTCTGCAGGAGCCCAGCCGGCGGGTGGCCCCAGAGCCAGCGCAGGATGAGACCCTGGAGGTGGTCCTACAGCCCATTGCAAAGCAGCTCCTGCGCCTGTGCCTACAAGATGGTGGTGGCCCTCCAGGGCCCGGGGATCTGGCCGAGGAGAGGACTGAGTTCCTGCACAGCCAGAATTCACCATCACCTAGAAGGTGCACCCTCCTGGTCTTCCGTCCCCAGCCAGTTCAGTGGGGCTTGGATGGGCAGAGTCTTGGGAAAGCAGCTTCCAGTTCTGAGCCAGCCCTGCTCTCCCCAGCTCCTTGTCAGATGAGGCGCCGGTCCTACCCAATACCACTCCAGACCTCCTCCTGGTCACCACGGCCAAACCAGCAGTACCTGGTGCTGGCAGGGAGACACCTCCTTCCCAGGTGAGCAGAAACAAGGCTCTGGAGTTCAAAAGGACAGAGATGACAGTGGGTGTCTTTGCACTGACATTTCATTTCTCCCCCCCAGGAACAGCCAGGCAGCCCCAGTGGCCATGAAGACAGGGACAACCTGGCCCCAGAACTGAAGGCCTCCTTCCTGCCACGAACCTTGTCTCTGCGGAACTCCATCAGCAAGAGTGAGTGTGGAGCCAGAGGTGCTAGAAGGCGGCTCTGGGGCTCCTCACACTGAGCCTGCCTTCTGCTGCTCACAGTCATGTCGGAAGCTGGCAGCGAGACGCTGGAGGATGAGTGGCAGTCCATCTCGGAGATCGCTTCCACCTGTAACACCATTCTGGAGTCACTGTCCCGGGAGGGTGAGGCCACTAGGGCTCTGGAGGGAGGAGCTAGAGCTAAGATGGGATTCCTGCTCCCTCTCAGACCTGCCCTCATTGCCCCTTTATCCCATAGGCCAGTCCATCCCAGAGAGTGGAGACCCCAAGGGAACTCCAAAGTCTGATGCTGAGTAAGGCTCCCTGCCCCATGTAGCCCCTCTCCACGCCTGTGTACCCAACCTTGGTTCCCACCCACTGAAGTTGAGCATCACCCAGGCCCTGTATCCACAGACACTTGTCTCAGACAAGAAGGACTGGGGGCTTCATTTAGGGGTCTCTGGGGGCCAGCCCATGGTGCTGCCCCGCCCTGGTCCCACTGAGTTCTGACCCCATGCTCTCAGGCCAGAACCTAGGAGCCTATCAGAGAAGGTCTCTCACCTGGAGGCCATGCTTAGGAAGCTGCAGGAGGACCTGAAGAAGGTAAGGAGGTGGTCTGGGGCCTGTGGGGAGTCCCGGGGCTGCTCCAGGAAAGGGGTAGCTGGTGACTGCTGTCCTCCTCCCCAGGAGAAAGCAGACAGGGCAGCCCTGGAGGAGGAGGTACGGAGCCTTCGGCACAACAACCAGCGGCTGCTGGCAGAGTCTGAGAGCGCAGCCACCCGCCTGCTTCTGGCCTCTAAGCAGCTGGGCTCACCCACCACTGACCTGGCATGAGACCACCTGGTCCTGCCTCAGCCTATGGACCTGCTCGGAACTGCCTTAGGGTGCCTGGGTCTCACCGGCCCTGGGCCCTCCTCAGGATCTCTCCTTGCACTGAGGCACATCTTAGCACTGTACCCACTCCCCAACCCATTTGGTGGCAAAGATGCCCCCACTTTTCCTTGTTTGTAAATATTCTGTGGAGAAGTTTTTTTTGTTATTTTTTGAGACATGAACTTGTGATCCTCCTGTCTCAGCTGAATTCCTGAGTGTTGGAATTACAGGTGTGTGCCACCACACCCAGCTCAGAAGCCACTCTATTTCTTCTATATACGTGTTCAAGACATGCTGGGATGGGGGTGTTTTCAGAGGTCACACAAAGCTCCTTGGCTTCTCTCCCACCAACATTTCTTTAGTTCTGTTGGGAAGCAGGTGGCCACACTCCACACCTGATCTGCTCAGGTCTCAGGCCTGAAACCACATCTTAAGAGGCTAAGATCAGAGGTGGAGAAATCAGGTAGCTCTTCAGGCCAGGGGAAGGACAGAGTTTAGGGGTCTGGGGAAGCCTGTGTCTCAGGCAGGCCCTACTCTCCTTTCTCTAGTCACTGAGCCTCCAAGCCTGTCACTCTTTTGGCCACTTGGCCACGTCTTGCAAGGGTGCAACTCCAGGGGTGGCAGTTTCTTGGATCTATGTCTGGAGGACATTGCCCTCAACCCACTTCTGTGCTCACCAGCACATGACCCCTCTGTTCTGCACCAAGCCGGACATTCCTCAGTGGCATCAACAGGTTCCAACTTGTATTTTTTTTTTTTTTTGGTACTGGGGATTGAACTCGGGACCTTGCGCTTGCAAGGCAGGTGCCAGAACCACTGAGCTAAATCCTCGGCCCAACAGGTTCCAACTTGGACTGTACTGAAACCTTTTTTTCTGACCTGAGGCCTAGACAGGGTAGTGACTTATCCAGCATCACATGTCTGTCCAGCCCTTCCCCAGTCTGGTTGACGCTTACTCTGCTGAGACCTAGGTCCTAAGTCTGTTAATATAGACTCTGGCAGGATGAGCTGGGCTGTGAGTGACAAGAGGGATGAGGAAGGCTTCATGGAGGGTCACATGAGGGCTGAGTTTTGAAGGTTGAAGAGGAAGAAGCTTACCAGGCAGAGATGCCAAAGGTATCCAGTAGGACCCGGATGAGCTTACTAAAGTGGAGTTGAGCACATACAGGAATCCAGGGTCAGGGAGGCTAAAGCTGGGCCCTGTCCTAGGGATCCTGGGTCAGCAATTCCCAGCACTGTGGCCATTTTTCCTGGTTGTGGACTAGAGTGAGCAGCCTTCATGGACACTATGGAGGGAGGCCCCTGGTCATTCTGGGGGTGTGTCTGCAGAAAATTGGGACCTGGTCATGTGGTTGACAGATGTTTAAATAGAGTGACCCATGAGAGTTGGATGTCAGAGTCCTCTGACTGCAGTGGGGCCAAGGAGAAAGGAAGCTGCAGCAGCAGCCCTGGAATTAGGTAGTGGTGACTTAAACGAGATGATCATAGTGGTGACAATCTGGAGAAGTGAGATCTGTCAAGACCTCATAAGGACTGGATGTGAGTTGCTGGAGAAGTGGCAGCCACAGTAGTGTCTGGGTTTCTCTCTGGAGTCCCTAGAGGCTGGCAGGGTGGTGGCTGAGACAGGGAGGAAGGGGAGGGGGCAGATTGGGAATGGTTGAGGTCACTTGGAACAGGGTTAGAGAGGCTCCAAGGACGTCAGAGTGGCAATTCCCAGTGGGCTGCATGAAGGGGAAAGAGACTTGGGCTGAAAACAAAGACTGATGAGCTATGAACATGGTGAGGTCACTCAGGGAGTGTGGGAAGAACCATGAGAGGGTTTCTGCAGGTCACTGGGACAGCCAAGAAGAGCGAGGCACAGCCTAGAGTGGAGCATCAGGGCCCACTCGCTTCCCTGGACCTCAGCTGAGTGCCTGCGGGTGGCTTCGCGGGTTCAGAAGCCTCTGCATCCAGCCCAGTCCTGCCTCCGCGGGCGCTCCGCGACAGGTTCAGCCGCCAGCGCCAGCTCAGGTTCCGCCTCCCGTGGGGGCGTTCACTTTAGCCAGCTCCCTGAATGGCCCAGCTTTCCTTCAGGCACCGCCTCGGCCCGCCTCCTTACCCTGAGACGCGATTTTTTTTTTCTTTTGGTGGTACTGAGGACCTAACCAAGGATCTTCGCAATGAACTACATCCCCAGTCTCACCTCCCCGCTCCCTTTTTGAGACAGTCTCAAGTGCTAAATTGCTCAAGCTGGGCTGGAATTTGCAATCCTGCTTCAACCTCCCAGATTGCTGAGGTTAAAGGCGTGAACCACCTTGCCCGGCTCTTTAGCTCAAGTTCGACTCCTCAGACCTCTTCCGATTCACCAACTTTCCTCTTCCCGCTAGTATCTTCTCTCGCAGGCACTGTCCATCGGCATCTGTACATGAAGATTGTTTCCAGGGCACTCGCTAACTTTTGCAGAGCGTCCCACTAATGTTGATTAGTGTGTTCCTGGCCTCACGTTGCTGCAACAGTGCAAAGTCCCAAACAGACACCGTAGGTCTCAGCCTAGGAGTTTAGTGGAACGCGTTACCGCTTCAGGGCTAAAGGATACCTGTGCGCATGCGCGCCCAAGGAGCCTGCCCCCCCCCCGTTCGCTGTTGCGCGTTCCCCGACCAAACCGGAAGTATGTTCTCTCTAGCTCAGGGTCTGTGCCCTGGCCTTCGTTTAGGGCCCCTAAACAGGTGGTGGGTTAAGATTTTTGTCGCTCCTCCCAGAACAGGGTATCATAGAATTGGTGGGGCAGCCATAACCCTTTCCCAGGCACTGCCCTTTCCCCGACAGGGGCAAACTCCTTTGCTCACCCATGGAATAAAGCCCAAACTGCTTACACAACCTCGTTTAGAGCCTGGCCCCAACATCGGTCTTTTTTTCCTGCGATACCGGGGATCGAACTCAGGACCTCGCGTTTGCGAGGCAGGCACAGCGCCACTGAGCTAAATTCCTGGGCCCAACATCAGTCTTTCTTACCCAGCAGCCTCCAAATGCTGGCCAGGCCCTCTGGAATCCATCCTCTGCTGATCTATGACCTAGAGCTAATAGGGTCTCCAAGACGACGCTTGGTCTCCATCTCCACAGGCAGTGGGCTCTGCTGGGCTTTCTGTGTAGGCACTTCTGCCCTAGCTGCCTGTTTACACCCACTAGATGGCAACTGAGGGGTCCAGGGGCTTCTGCAGACCACAGGTTCCCAGACGACCACATGCATATTCACTCAACTCAGTATCACAAATGTCCAGCCCGACATGACAAGCGGTTTGCCAGTGTTTGCTGAAAGAAAGCAAATCTCTGGCCAGCTTGGTAACACATTTATTAGTTCAGAGTGGAAAGAGCAAGAGTCAAGCTCCTTTGAAAACCGTGCATCTTGATTGGAGAGCTTCTAGCCTGCCCTCTCCCACTTTCCCAACAATTCGTTCTATTAAGGCACTTGAGGAAATGAGGGAGCAAGGAAGTCGCAGGCCAAACCCCCTAAGGCTACCAGAGAGGGCCAGTTTGGTTCTGTTTCCTTCAGCCACAGCTGAGCAAAGAAAGCTGGCGAAGATCTCTGCAGGGCAGGAAGGCCACCCAGCCCCTCAAGCACTGGTGTCAGGCAGTGCCACAGAGGAATTGGTCATAGGGGCATGATTTTACATCAAGGTGTATGCTAACCTGTGACCTAAGGAAGACACTTGATAGTAAGACTTTGGCCTCAAAGGCCATGGCTCCAGCCTGCCCCTCTCTCTAGAAGAGTGCTAGAAGCTGGAGGATGGGGATGGGGGAACCCAGAGGTCCCTATATAAAAGGGAACTGACCATGAGGATAAGAGTCTGAGTCCTCCCAGCTCCCTCACTTCCAGAGAAGTTAATGCTTCGCTTAAGCACCTCCAAAGAGAGAGATAGATACTGCCAATAAAAGAATAAAATGTGCTCCCCAGAAAGACATCACCCAGGGAAGTTGGGGAAAGATGGAGCATGCCCCCCAGAATCCATAAGTGCTTTGGGAAGGCTTCAATCCCCTGCAACCTGATGCTCTGGGCAGGGCTGGTGTCACCCACTTAAGAGCTGATCTGACTCAGAAGGGCTGAGAAGTCCATGTCCGCAATGGAGGAGAAGTCTTCATCCCCCGAGAGGCCATTGGGGAGCCCTGAAGCTCCCATGGAGGTGGGAGCTGGATCAGGGGGCCTCTGGGAACCTGTCACCAGGCGAGTTATAGCTTCAGGATACTCCATCAGCATGGGCTCAACTGTGGGTTGGGGCATGGATACACCTTGGTTCAGCAGCTGCTGAAACTCTGAGTTGTCGACAGAAGCCAGGTCTGTGAACACAGCTGGGTCTGTGCTATTGCCAAGCAAGGCCCCCAGGTCTTCATCAGCATCAAACTGCAGGTGCAGCAGGGCCTCCGACAGCGTACCTTCCCCGGACTGAGTGGTCTTTGGGGCAGGTGGGGCCACAGCTTGGGGAGGGCATGGGGCTAGGACTGGTGCTGGGGCCTGGGGCAGAGTTGGTGCCATGGGGGGGGCAGGGACCAGGTTCTGGGCCAGGACAGAGACAGGGGCTGGTGTTAAGGCTGAGGCCTGGCTTGGGATCTGCCCAGAAGGTAACACCATGGGGGAAAACTCATCAAAGTTGATGGTGCTGAGGGGTGATGTAAAGGCATAGGGCTGGGGGGCTAGAGGAGAGAAAGAGAGGCACGGGTCAGAACAAGCCCTAGAGACCCACCCCATCCTCCATACCCAAACCGCTCCCTAGAAGCTACTGTCAACACTCAAACTCCCCCTTTTCCAATCTGACCTGGTCTGCCAAGTCCAATTCTAGCCTCCCCTCCTCTCTGGAAGTCTCTCTGACTCCTGGAGCCTGAAAAGCTCCTATTTTACAGATGACAAAAACAATCAAAAGGGGACGAGCACCCAGTGAGTAGTGGCATAGAGTGGGCACTTGTAACCCTTTTTTGAGCCACACACCAGCACATATGTCATACTACTTTAGAGGTGGGTTTTGTTTTGTTTTGCTTTCCTAATTGACAGGGGCAGAGATTGTCCACTTTTATCATCTATATCCCAAGGTATCCAAAGAGAGTTTCACTCTTCTCCTCAGACTTCCATGTACGTTAGCATCCCTGGAAAGCTGCTGGTGCCTGTGTCACACCTCCAAAGCCTCCAGTTCGGAAAGGGGCCTAAGAAACCACACACCACTGCTCCCCAGATGATGCTGATAGAGGTCAGCAGGCCTCACCCCTGAGAGCATGAGCCCCACAGAATGCAGGTGTCAGACATCTGCTACTGTGGGGCTACCTCTGGTCATCTCCCTTCTACATAGTTCACAACTGTGGCCTGAATGAGATTGGAAACTGTTGTTCCAGTGGGACAAAAGAAAATCTTTACCTGGCTTGGGGACAGAAGTTGAACTTCGAGAAGGCATAGCAATGCGTCGGGGAGGAGGCCGGGGATCAGTAGGTCCTGCAGGCAAGGGCAGGGTCAGTTCTTAGCCCCCAGGGTGTCGCCTCCCTGGTCCATGGGCTCTCCCCAGTCCCCATCTCACCATTGAAAGGACTCTTCTTCATGATGCTCCTGAAGGTCTCGTATGTCCTTTTGCGCTTCTCCTCAATTCGGTGACGGTCATCTGGGGAAGGAATGGGAGAGTGAGGGTTGTTGCCTCCGCTGAGGTCCCTCAGGAAGAAGGTGAGGAGTCACGCTTTCACAAGACTCCTTCTCCCAACCAGTGAGAAGGGATGTGTGACTCTTAACACTCAGCAGTTTTGATTCCCACAGCTTTCTCAGAGAGCTTTGTTGCCTGAATGTGCCCCTCAAAGGCACTTGGGTGATGCCAAGTGAAGAGGCCCTGCTGAGGGGTCCAGTGCCAGAACAGGGGCCTGAGCCTACAGTTCAGCTGTCACCTGCACTGCTCACCCCAGAGTCCACCCAGGCCTTGCAAGATGTGCCTCATGCTGGGGCACAACAGGCTGCCTAAGATAATGCACAGGCTTTCACCTCTAACAGTTTGCCACTTTAATCTCAAGCTTTCCAAACCATCTTCTGCCTCAGTTCCTTTAGTCTAAAGCCAGCTTCATGATCTTTCCTCAAAAACCTGGTTCTTTTGCCTCACTTCCCCTGACCACCATCTCTCTGTCACCAAAACTAGGAATCTTGGTACCATCTCTAACACCTCTTTTGCCCCCACCAGTCACTAACTGTACTGGACACATTTACAAGCACATGCTATGTGCCGGCCTCCCTCCTAGCACTGGGATATGGCTTTGAGTAAGCACACAGGGACCTGCTTTCAAAAAGGTGACATCTTAGTGACAGAGAGACAGGAATACAACCATGTGCACAAACAAGATCTTAAAAAGTGCCTGGAAGGAGGTGAGGTCCGAGGAAACTTGTGTGTAAACAGGTGACCTAACAGCTCGGCAGCATGGCGGGTTGGGCAGGGGGGTGGGGGCTGGTGTAGAGAGCTCAGGGAAGGACTGGTGTGAGCCACTCACACAAATGCTAAGGGCCCACATGTTCCAGGCGGGGCAACAGCCAAGACACAGGTCCAAGGTAGGACTGAGTTTGGCATGTCACAGAAAAATGGCTGTGGGGCTGAAGGGTAACTGAAGAGGACAGGGATGGGGGCATGATCTTCCCCTTCTGCAAGGCTCACGCCTGAATCCATTCTTCTGGGACTACTGCAATGTCTTCCAGAATGGGCCCCCAGCCTCAAGCCTCTGCCTCTCCAGTCTCTACACACAGCAGCCAGCATGAGCTCCCAGACAGGCCTAGGTCATGACTCCGCTCGGACACCTTCAGTGGCTCCCCACTGCACTGAGGCTGGCGCCTACCAGAGCACTCCTGCTAGCTCTACTCACTGCTCCATGTCAGCTCTGTGGCTGAGAGGGCCCTCAGCAGGCAAGCACTCGCCAGTCCCGTGCCCCTCCTTCTGATGCTCAGCTGCCGCCTGGAAAATGTGCTCCTTAGTCTGTCCCTAAGGTAAATGCCACCTTCTCTGTCATGTGTCACCAGCTCCCACACCTGTGCTCCTACAGACTGTGCATGCTCCTCCGTTTCGCATGTCATTCTGTGACATGAGGATGTGTTCTTCGTGTCTGTCTTCCTCATGTGACAAGCTCGTGAATGGCAGGGGACCTGCTTTATTCATCTGTGCATCTACCACACCTGGCACAGGTCCTGCTACCAAGTGGGCCCTCAAAGCCTTGACCAAACTATGGCTGTATGGTAGTGACAGGTGACACAACACATGACAACAGGATCCTGGGGCCAAATGGTCTGGATTCAGATGCTGATTGTGCCTCTCCCCAGATATGAGCGCTCAGGCAAGGCTCTACCCTCAAAAAGCTGGTGAGAGATTAAAATCAGGTAATGATTTTAATAATGATGGAATACAGTTATTAATTAAATGAGGCAAGAAGTGGATTCTGGCTAGGTATGGTGGTGCACACCTGTAATCCCAGCACTCGGGAGGCTGTGTCAAGAGGATTACTGAGAGTTCAAGGCCAGCCTGGGCTATATGATGAACTCAAGGCCAGCCTGAATTACAGAGTGAGACACTGTCTCAAAACAAAACAAAAACCAACAAAAAAACCCAGAAATGGATTCTTATTATAGTCACATGTCATTTCATGACATGAACAGGTGTTTCATCACCGTGTATCAGTCTGTTTACACAAATTAAATTGACTACAGCGTGTCAAGGCAACACCACTGTACACGTGATCCATCCTTGCAGCAGTGACTGTACTGAATAAATCCCAGGTTCTGCAGCCAGATGGCCAGCTCCAGCCCTTCTCACAGCGAGAGCCTGCCACCCTCCTCCACCCTCCCTGCTATGTACCTGTGTCCGGCAGGTACTGGAACTCCATGGGCTCGCTGAGCTCCCTGTCAGAAGGCCGCCGAAGCTGCATGGAGACTCGCACAGGGGCCTGCAGGCTGGAGTCGGCGTAGGGAGGTGTCCGGAACACAATGGCCACTTGCCGGTGCACGTCAGCTTGGGAAAAGGAGCCTCGGGCCTCCCAGCCTGGTCCGGTAAAATACACCTCAATGTCCTCTGTAGGAGATGGGTGGCAGCATGGGTCAGTGTATCTCACTCCCCAACACACACACACACATCCTGTCACCCCACTACACTACTACACTACTTCCTCTCTTGTGGTACTGTGGACTGGACCCAGGGCTTCTCAGGTGTTAGACAAGTACTCTACCACTACATCCTAAGCCCTTTTGTAACATTTTATTTTCAGATAGGGTCTTGCTAAGTTGCCTAGGCTGGGATCACACTTGCAAACCTCCTGCTTCAGCCTATGAAGTAGCTGGCATTACAGGTGTGCACAACTGAGACCCAGCATGTCCCCAATGTCTGATGCTTGTCTCCTGAGTGTCACCTTGAAAGAATGAAGGACCTGGCACTGCCACCTCTGGTCAGCCCTGCCCCTCACCTTTTGATCTAGAAAGTCCAGCCCTGACCCCGGCGCATACCTTTCTGCACTTTGTCGCACAGTAGGAAGATCTCATCCCCACCAAGGCAGCTCCCTGAGTTTCGGTTCACTCTGCAGATCTTGAGCTCAGCTGTGTTGGGGGCACCTAGGGTGTGACAATAAGGAAGGAAGCCCTGAACCACCAGAGGTCCCCAGGGTGTCCTGCAGGAGATGCAACAGCCCCGGCAGCCCAGCCTGGCGCGGCATCAAGGTTACCCAAAGCTTGCTGCCCACACCTCTGTGGCCAAAGCCAGACCATTCTCATTGGCCCCTCACCCCAGCCTATTCCACAGCTCTTTACCTGTTATGAGCTCAACATGGCTGGAGGGAAGGAGAGTAAGACAGCACAAAACCTACATCTCTTTGCCCTCACAGAGCTCTCAGTGCAGCGGGAAATGATCTGATTGCACCTTCCCTTTCTCCTCCTGACCCGGTGTATCTTCAAGGTGAGGTTCACATGCACCTTGGCCACAAACACTTCCCTGCTGACTCCCAGTTCACACTGGTTTCCCACCCATGGGTCTCCAGAGCCCTTTTATTTTTATTTGTTCTGCTGGTTACTTAAGATTGCAGTTGAAGCCGGGTGTGGTGGCACATGCCTGCAATTCCAGCACTCAGGAGGCTGAGGCAGGAGGACTACTGCAGGTATGAGGCCAGCCTAGGCTACACAGTTCAGCCTGAACTGTATAGCAAGACTGTCTTTTAAAAAAAAAAAAAAGTAAGGGCTGCGGATTTAGCTCAGTGGTTCTGCTGCGTGCCTTGCAAGCACAAGGACCCGAGTTCAATCCCTGGTACCAAAAAATAAAAATAAAATTTAAAAAAAAAGGAAAAGATTGCAATTGATCAACATCAGCCTAGTTTATCTGTGAGCTTTCTGTAAGCTCCCACCATTGAGTTATTACTGTTCAGTATTATCTTCTTCCTAGGAGTTCATTTCCTAGAGTCACTAGCACAGTTCCGGGCGCACCACCCTCTCATACACAACATGGAAAATGCCCATTTACAATCAGTCTGTCTGGTAGCCTGGAAGCTACATCTTGAGGGCAGCTCTGAGTCTTCTCTGCCCTCAAGATGTAGCTTCTATGCCCCGCTGCTTGGGCTGCTCGATGATCTCCACATAGGGGCCAGGTGATGAATACACTCCAGGATTCAATGAAGCTGGAGCTCCTCTCCCAGGGCACACCCATCTGCCCCTTCCTCTGACCCAGACCCATTCTGTTCCTCTTCCCAAAGCTCCCCCAGCCACTCACGGTTGTCAAAGATGGGATTCGAGAGAACAGGCGGCAGGCGGAGGGGCCTGCCTGACTGGTCCCGCACTGTCACCTGGAAGCAGAGCCGCACAGCATTCAGGTCATAGTCCCCACGCTGCTCTTCTATGGGAACTATTAGAAAAAAGAGATGGTCAGAAAAGCATGAGCTGGGGCAGGCACAAGAGGGGATGAGGGAGGGCAGGGAGCTCTGGGCTGGGGGCGCTGTTTAAGGGAGGAGGGAAACGAAAGTTCCAGACCTATCATTGACTCTGTGGTGGCCTGGAATGTCAAGTCCTCTCTTGGGGCCTCAGTTTCCCAGGAGGAAAATGGGAGTGTATACTAAATGGGTGGCAAGATTCCACATGCACTGTGAGTCTTGGCCACTGCAGGAGATGCAGGGCAGGTGGACAAAGGACAGAAGTGCTATGGGCAGACCAAGTCTGCACCCTCCTCACCTTGGAAGGGATTGTTGTTGGTCTGGATGCGCTGGCTGATGGCCTGTTCCAGGTCCCGCTTCTTCACACACTGGATCCCCAGGTTCTGGAAGCTGAGAGCCCCCAAGACATCAGTCTGGTGTCTCAAGCAGACCCTGGCCCCTCCTGCTCATCCAGTCTTCCCACCCCGTCACTGCTCTGTGGCCAGCCCTCCAGGGGCTCCTCCTGTGCTGGGGTGAACCCAGCCAATGCAGCCTCCCTAAGGGCTCCCCAGCCCCAGCCACAAGGCTTCCTTTCCATTCTCCAAACTCTGTGCTCGCGTCTAACTAAAGGCCATGCCCTGGTCTATCCTGTGTGCAATCCCTTCTTATGGGGCTCTGCTCTTCTTCACCATTCAAACCTCCACTGAAAGAGGCCTTTCCTGACCTCCTAATCCAAAGGGATTAGACCAGCTTTCCTGCCTCCCCATCCTGGGATAGCCTACCTATTACCCTGTTTTATTTTCACCATTGAAATTATTAATCTCGAACAATAGTTTCTTTATTTTCAAAATTATTTATGGCCTGTCTCTGTCAACTAGTAAGTAAGCTCTAGGAGAGTCTGTAAGTTCAATGGTTTTCTCATACAAGAACCATGACATTGGGCCGGGTATTTAGCTCAGTGGTTCTGCCGCCTGCCTTGCAAGCACAAGGACCCGAGTTCAATCCCTGGTACCAAAAAAAAAAAAAAAAGAACTATGACACTAAGGAATTTGCCCTTCTACACAGAGAGGTCAGGGCCTCCAAAGTGACTAGGACTACACCGTGGACTCCCATCTGCTACAGACAGAACAGAAAACAGATAATTTCTTTTTTTTTTTTTTTTTGGTACCGGGGATGGAACTCAGATCCTTCCGCTTGCAAGGCAGGCGGCGGAACCACTGAGCTAAATCCCCAGCCAAAAACAGATAATTTCAAGATAAAAGGAGTCAACTTGCAGAGCCCAGGGACAGAGCAAGAAGTGAGGAATTCTGCTCTGTGTCCAGAAAAGAGTAACACTGGAACAGCTATTCAGCTTCCTGGCCTCCTGTCCCCAACTCTCCCACCATCCCCTAGCCTTCAAGGAGCTCACCTGTGGATACAGCGGTCTGGGCAGAGCTCAGCCTCATAGAAGCCATCCCGGCAGTCCTTCCCCACCAGCTCATGGGGGTGAGGCCGGTGAGGGGGATCCTTGGTGACCAGGGAGATGCGAACTGTCCCTGGTCCTGTGTAGCCATTGATCTGTCCAAAGTACAGAGAGTGCTCTAAAGGCCCAGCAATATTGAACGGCCTGGAAGCAAGGGAGCTAGAGCTCCCCAATCCCTTCTGCTACACCTGTGACCCCTTTCCCACCGCTGGGGGCAATGCTGACCTTGATGGTGGGGTGGGTCTTGGTGGTATCTGTGCTCCTCTCTCCTGGGATGCTGCCTGCTGAGCGGCCCTCGCACTTGTAGCGGAAGCGCATGCCCCGCTGCTTGGGCTGCTCGATGATCTCCACATAGGGGCCAGAAGCCTGGGCTGGCTCTACAAGGGCCACAACCAGCTCAGTCAGGTGCTGCCCGGTGGCTCCTAGCCCCAGGGAGCCCCCTCCCTACCACTGAGAAAGGATGGTCCACTTACCTGGGGGGAAGATGAGGGGGAACAAGTCTGAAAGGGGAGGAGACAAGGATCAGCACAAGTTCACTGCCTGTTCTCACCAGGGAGGGCCTGATGGGGTCAGGCTTCCTCCCAGGGAAACTGAGTCAGGACCTGTTTTCTACAACCTGCCTTGAAACCAAGGGATGGGAGTAAAGAACCACCAGCACCTGTTTCCTGAGGGCAAATAGTATGGACTCCTTGCCCTACCAAGGGAAACCAAGCCAGAGGCACTCCCTACTCCTCATCCTCAGAGGAAAACTGACTCAGATACATTCTCCCCTATACGGAAACGAAGTCAGAGCTACCCCCATTGACCCTGGGGGAAACTGAGTCACGGCTCACTGCGAACCCCTACCCAGGGAGGATACTGAGTCACAGACCCCCTTCCACCCAGAGGGGAAACCGAGTCAGGCCCCTCGTTGCCCGCCCCGCCCCGCGCCGGGCCGCGCCACCATCCGACCGGCCGCTCCCTGCGCAGCGCCGGAAGGGGTCAGAGGGAGGCGCGGGGGCTCCCGCCGCGGCCCCGGAGACGCAGGCACGGCCACCCCACGGGGTCAGAGGGCGCCCTCACCGTCCATGGCTGGGGTCCGGGGGGCGGGGCTGGGGTCGCAGCGAAGCCCGCGGCGCGCGCTACAGCGGAGCCATTCGCCAGAGGCGGAAATGCGACCCGCGCTCGCCCGCCCGCCGCCGCCGCCGCCGCCGCCGCCGCCGCCGCGTCACTGCCCGGAATCTGACCGCGCCTGCGCGCTGAGCCGCCGCCGCGAGCAGGGACCGGGAGCGGGCGAGCGCCGCGGGGGGACTGAGGGGCCGCCCTCTGAGCCGCTGCTGCCTGGGAGCCGGGAGTAAGGGCGCGCCGTGCCCGGGACGGGACGCACAGGCTGCCCGCCTGGAGGTCGCTCCCGGGCGATGGGCGGCTCGGCTCGCTGCTGACCTCTGGCTCCGCCTGGAGGGCGGGCCTGCCGATTACTCACTCTGTTTTTAGGGGATTTCGGGTCCCCCGCCCTCCTCCCGCTGCCGGAGGAGTTAGGTGATGTCACCCTGGGTCGGGCCTGGAGCACTGCCGGGGCTACGGCCGCGGCCGCCCGCCTGCACGGGGAAAGGCTCCGGCCTACAGCGCCCGCAGAGATCGGGTGGCTGAGCTCCACGCGCTTCCCGAGCCATCAAGGTGCCTCTGGTGGTTGCTGACCCGGAGCACGTTTTAGTTCCTTGTCCGCCTCTATCTGGAGGCAGCCGGGGAGGGAGCGTGGACGGTGGACTTCGCCAGGATGTGTCCGCTGCAACCCCCGGCTGGCGAGAGTTGTCAACCTGCCTGCTGAAACGTGGCTGCAGCCAACCTGCAGCCCTCAGGGACGATGAGTGTAGGACGTGCTCGGAGTAAACTCTGGGTTTCTCTCTGCCTCTGTGCCCCTGATCCCAAGGCCCCAGACCCCTGAGGTGCCTTGTCCCCAGTGCGTCTCCCCAAGTCCTCGCGGGCGCCTGGGCTCAGACAGCATTTGCAGTGGTTAACGGTCCGGGTCCCAGGTTGGAGGGTATGGATGTCAAAGCTGAGGCCAAGGGTGGGAACCTGGTTTGAGCACCCCCACCCCAGGCCTCCTGTTTCTCCGCAGCAGGCAGAAGAGTATGGGGAAGAGCTCCAGATGGAGAAGGACTTATTTTCTCTGAATTTGTTCTAAATTAGGAAATCATGTGGGAATTGGAAAAGATTGGAAATTCTGACTTGCTTTCCCAGGCTCTGAGAAAACAGGAAGAGAAACGTGAAAATAGAGTTAGCACCCCTCCCACTCATTTCAGTTTCTCACGGGGCTGGCCCCGGTAGAGAAATCAGTTAAGTTTGTGGAGGTGAACTGCGGATCCACAGAATGGTTTGTAATCTCCAGCTAACGACATATATCACTGACCTGTGCATGGTCCTCTTTTTAAAAATTAACAAATAACTTTCAAGTTAATATCATGAACGCCAGTATGTCAGGAGATGGCTAGACCACCACCCTCACTGATATCCACCCACGTGCTCCACATCTGTTATCCAGGCCACCACCCTCCTGATCCTGGTTTTGTTTTGTTTTAATTTTGCCCTCTTACCCCAAATCCCGGTACTGAGGATTGAGCTACATCCCCAGCCCTTTCTTTATTTTATTTTTCTTGAGACAGGGTCTTACTTTGTAGTTCAGGCTGGCTCTGAACTCTCTATTGTAGCCCAGGCCTGCCTCAAACTCGCGGTGTTTCTCCTGCCTCTTATTTTTAAAAAAATTGAAATAGGATCTACAGTGAGTTGCCCAGGCTGGGCTCCAACTTATGATCCTCCTGCCTCAGCTTCCCAGAGCGCTAGAATTTCAGGTGTGCATCATCGTGGCCAGCTTAGAATTCTGTGTTTTAAAGAAATTACATGGGCCGGGGATTTAGTTCAGTGGTTCCGCTGCCTGCCTTGCAAGCGCAAGGACCCGAGTTTGATCCCCGGTACCAAAAAAAAAAAAATAGAAATTACATATACATGTATTTACAACATGTTTGGTTTTGCTTAGTTTTGAACTTTTATTAAGGGGATACTTGTTTGCCTGTGTCATTTGTTTTTTCACTTGCCATATTACTAAGATTGCCCCTTTTCTCCATTTATTCACATTTCATTGTGGTACACTCACCTGTTTAACTAAGCCACTGCCTCTCTGTTCATCTTGAAGTTTTTGTTCTTAGAAACAATGCTCCTATGAATGTTTTCTGTGAATGGTTTCCTGTTATATAACGAAGGTTTTCTCTCAGGTATACACTGTAAAGTGATTTATTAAAGTATTGAATTTTTCCTTCTCAGTTTTCAAAACAGTGAATTGATAACCTACCATCGTCTAAAAGTGATCAGTTAAATATTTTCTTCTTTTAATCTTTTTTTTCTCTACTCAGAACAATTTTTTTTTTTTTTTTTTGGTGTCAGGGATCAAACTCAGGTCCTTGTGTTTGTGCGGCAAGTGGCAGAAACACTGAGCTAAATCCCTGGCCCCACTATTTATTTTTTAAAGGAATTTTTTTTCCACTACTGGGGATGGAACCCACGGTTTTGATACAGAGCCACATCCCCAGCCCTATACTATATTTTAAAAATTGGGGCCGGGGATTTAGCTCAGTGGTGTGGCACCTGCCTGGCAAGCACAAAGTCCTGATTTCCATCCCCAGTACCAAGGGAAAAAAAAAGAATCTAAATGTGAAAAGAAAAACTTTTGGTTTGGGGATGTAGTTCAGTGGTGCCATGCCTGCCTCCTGCTCTCAAGTGCAAAGTCCTGAGTTCAATCCCCAGTACTGGAAAAAAAAAATTGCCAGTCTGAGTTGAAACTTGAGATTCTCCTGCCTCATCCTCCCAGACTGCTGGATTATGAACCTGTACCACCAGGCCCAGAAAGGAATGGATTTGAGGGAGAGAGGATGAGACAGCGTCTCAAGGAATGGATTTTGAAGGGAGAATGGAGTAACGGGAATATGTACAAATGTAAGCCATTTTGCTCATTGTTTTATAACCACAAAAAACAAACATGGAGAAGGGAACACCCGACAGAACACGGTCTTGAAGACAGAGGTGTTTTCCTAGCAAGGCCAGGGATCTGTGTCTCGCAGATTTGGAATTTAGGGTACAGTCCTGTTTGGGGAGGGGCTATGGGTAAGGGGCACAATTCTGTCCTTAACCACACTTTCCTCCAACTGCCTAGAAAGGGGGATGGCAAGGGCTAAAGAAAAAGAGAAAACAGAGACTTGCATAATTTCAAAGTATATAGGGGGCTGGGAGTCTACCTCAGAGTGGGCAAAGACAAGGACTCCCCGAGCTGGCCATCACTTATTGGGTACATGCAGTAATTGGAGGGAGCATCAGGTGACTTAGGGGCATCGGTGAGCCTTTGTCCATGCGAATCTCATGCTGATGAGATTTATTTATTTATTTATCTATTTTGAGACTGGGTCTTGCTATGTTGTTCAAGTTGGCCTTGAGCTCACTATGTACCCAAAGCTGGCCTCAAACTCGAACCAATCCAGCCTCAGCGTCCCAAGTGCTGGGATTACAGCATGCACTACAACTCCCGGCCTTTTATTTTTAAATTTTGAGACAAAGTCTGGGTAAATTGCTAAATTCTCCTGGCTTGGCTGGAACTCCAAGTCCTCCTGCCTCAACCTTTCAAGTGCTGGGATTGCTGGAGTATATTGCCATGCCTAACTAACTGCTGGTTTGTGTTTGTGTTTCATTGTTTCTGGGGATGGAATCCAGAGACTCACACATGTTAGGCAAGTGCTCTGCCACTGAGCTACATCCCCAGCCCCAGGACTCCAAGATTTTCTTTACTTATTTTCAGTACTGGTGATTGAACCCAGGGTCTACAAACAGAGCTACATTCTCAGCCTTCTTTTTTTCTTTTTAAAATTTTGATATACAGTCTCACTAAATTGTTAAATTCCCCAGAATGGGCTTGAACTTGCAATTCTCCTGCCTTTGCCTCCCAGAGTGCTGAGATTCAGGCATGCTCCACCATGACCAGCTAACAACAGAGTTTTAATGTAGCTTCAGATTTTTTTTTTTGAGACAGGGTCTTGCTATGTAATTAAGGCTGGTCTTGAACTCACTGTGGAGCCCAGGCTGGTCTCAAACAAGTGCTGGGATTGCCAGTGTGCACCACCACGCCAGGCTCGATCTTTTTTTTTTTTTTTTTTTAAATTTTTTCAGGCTCATCATATTTAATGTCTCTCCTGAGACAAAAGTCTTGATTTTGCAGTACATATATATACCAATTCCCCCACAATGAATGCATTTACTGTGTATCACAATAATATGCTAATAAAAATTGAAAAAAATCTTAATTTTTTTAAGAAATAGAAAAATAGGGCCGGGGATTTAGCTCAGTGGTTCTGCCGCTTGCCTCACAAGCACAAGGACCCAAGTTCAATCCCTGGTACCAAAA